TAACTGAGGAAGATGGCCACTGGATCATCCTGTATGTTGACGCTCTTCGTGTTCCCGACCAGTGACTAACCTGCAGCTCACCTGTCTATTCTCCTCTTTACTGGCACAGTATCTGGGGGTGAATGTGAACAGATTCCCACCATAATTGTGCGTTATTATTTGTAGTTCAGCTTGCACTGTCCGCTTTCGTTTGCTAGAAGCTTTCAGATACAAGTAAACTTTTCAAAAACAGCACCACCTTTGCTCTGGATGCATTTGACAACCATGATGTATGACTTTTTTTTTTCTTTCTTTCCTTCCTCTCTCATTTAAGATGACCTTGAGTGATGCCATGAGGAGCAAGGCAAGGCTGTCAATTACAGGAAGTACTGGAGAAAATGGACGTGTTATGACTCCAGAATTTCCCAAAGCAGTGCATGCTGTCCCTTACGTGAGTCCTGGCATGGGAATGAATGTCAGTGTGACTGATCTCTCGTGATTGATAGGAACCTTCTGAGTGCCTTACACAATGGTTTCCTTGTGTGGTTATTGTCAAAGTGGTGAGAGGCATCCAGTATCTTGAAGGCTTTTCTTTCAGCCAAGAATTCTTAAGTCTGTGGAGTTGACCTTGAAGTGTAAGGAAAGAGTCATGACACACAGAGCATCCTTTTCTACTCCGAATTTCAGACGAAGCGTGGTGGACATGCACAGCTAACTTGGAAGTACTATCATTTAACTGAAGTCTTTGTACAGACAACAAGCCCGTTTCCGCAGCCACTATTGTTAGTCTCTTGATTCATAATGACTTAAGCACACTTGACACCAACTGCATCAAGATGTGACCTGTTTTATAAAAAAAAAAAGAAAGAAAGAATAAAAAACATTTAAAGTTAAAAAAAATATTTTTAGGTATTTTCACAGACAAACTGGCTTTTAAAAAAATTTGCTTCCAAACTGGTTGGTTAAGACAAACAAACAAAAAGTCAAACTGAGTGGGAAGTGATTGAGAAAAGGTCCATGGTATCAGTTCCGTATTTTTCAAAGCCAAATATGTAAATGCTGAGGAAGGAAACAGAGGAGAGTCCAGTCTTGTAATTTAATATTGTTATTAAAACTTTAATGTATCCTATTCTTTAACATTTGGTGTTAATATGAAACTACTTGGCAATGCTTGACATTTGAAATAAACATTTTCTATTGTTTTATTTGCAAGTGGTCAAATTAATTTTGCTTAGCTACAGTTTGGTCATAAATCCCATGAGTTTAAAGACACTAATGTGTACTCTTTAGGATTCCAAAGAAAAGGGTCCTCCTTTAAAAGGCAGGAAGATTTCTTTCTTTTTACAGGTAGGAATTTTCCCTAAATAGTAGATCTAAAACTATTTTTTTCTGTAAATCATGCTATGTATAATAAAATATCTCTTACCTAAAAAGCATTTAGTCTATACAGATAAATGCTTATAGATTTAAAAACCAAATTTATAAGCAAATATCAGAATGCCTAAATTTCCAGTACTGAAATGTTTAAGCTTACAGAGGTGTAGCAGTCACTATCAATGAAGTCGAAAATACCTTGAGGGTAGCTGTTTAGATATTTGCACATTGGCCAAATTCTATAATCTACGCCTACACTTTTCGTTTTAAAATTATAAGAGCTAACGTCAGTGTTTGACTACTTCAGTCACCTACAATATGGTTTCTTTGCATTTCTATCTATGAAGTCAACCATAATATATTATTTTTATTTATGCCTCAGGTAGAATGAGCACTTTAGTATGTCTATTATGGATATTATCCCATCTCTGGAACTTTTTGCGGAAGGGATTATATTGCTCTAGTTGATAGATTTATGTCAGCTATATTTCCTTCTTTAAAATGATATTTATTTCCACCCATGTCCTCCAAATAAATCTACTTTAGTGTTAAAAAGCAACTGACACCCAGTAGTTACCTTGAAGATGTACAATTGCTATTTTTTTTCCTCTTAAAAATTTCTGTGTAATATTTGGTGTCTGACCAAGTGCTTTGTAGAACTTCTCTATTGGTCATTTTCAAAGAAGAGGATGGGAATTCGAGGACATAGCAGTAGCCACTTGCATTTTACACGGTAGCATGCAGCTTCATGAAAATCGGCACTAAATTTTGCCATCCCTTCTGAAAATTCCACGGTCATAGAAAATAATCTTAGCACGTGACTCATCAGGGATATTGGAGGTACATTTTAAGTTTTAATAATTAATGCTAGAATGACCAAATTGCAGACTAATTATTTCCATATTGTACTTACAATGAGTTTTTAAAAATTATGAAAGAGATGACTATATACAATCAATGCTATTTATTGTACCTCTGGGCCCTACTCTTCCAAAAAATTGAGCTTATCAATTTTCTCTGTCAAGCTTGAACTAATGTAAATAATTGAAATAATGTAAAGTTATATTTTCATGTTTTTATAGATATGACATGACACGAATACATAATGTCTGAGTATCTCAAGTGTGGATAATGTTGATTGGCTAACGCAGAGCTCAGCTATAGGCAGGAAAACCTAGTTCAATATCCATGTAACAGTGTATCAGTTTATTGCTGTATAGATGTGTCCGTGTGCATATAAGTGACAAGTGCTCCAATAAGAGTGATGACAGCTGTCTAAAGGTTTTTTTTTTATTCATTTTATATAAACTGTTATGGAAAGACCAAAATGTTTATGAACTATTCTTATGTAAATTTACAACTGCCCTTCACTGTACTTTTTGTTTACAGTATAGGGCCTGTTCTCTGCTGTGTTAAGTGGGTGACACACTCCAAGGAGACGTACAATCTCTACAACTTCTATTGAAGATACTGGGATTTCCAATTTTTCATGTGTGCTATGTCAGAAAATGCTTTTAATTTTATTTTTAAATCTAACATCTGATGGTTTTTTTCAGAGTGTTGTGAAAACTTCAGTCATACATAAAATATGTTCTTATATAAAGTCAAGATTTTTTTTGGTTTTTACTTAATAGTACATCAACCTAATAATGAGAAACCAAAAAAGTGTATCTTATATTATCCCCAAATAAATCCAGATGTTTCTAGTAAAAGGGGGGAATCTCTGCTCAGTTTGTCAGCTATGTATGAAGAGAATACAATTAGAATGTCTTTTGAAATTTAAAATAAGATGGTTAGTAATTCGGGTATTCCACACCCATGGTCATTAAGTGCTTTGGGCTATATAGAAATGTGGCTAATGGTTTTGTAATCTGCTCCACTGATAAAATGCCATGTTTTGTATCAGCCATTCGACTGTGCCATCATCCCATTTGCTATGGTACTCACATTAAAAAGCAGGAAAGCAACGTGCTTTAAAACACTTATGGTTTAATATTTAAAAATTGTCCATTTATTTTGAGTTACAGAGAAATTCTTTCCACTTCAACCTTTTTCACAAAGCTGGTCATTTGAATCCAATTAGCATGTTCTCTAAGTTATTCTAACATTTATAAGCTCTTCAAACTTGCCCATAAATTTATAAAATTTTTATACTTAAATGTATCCAATAGTTAACACATGAATATATGAGTGAATATATCTGCTTAAAACACAGTAATTTTCCATTCCAAGTCTGTAAACGTTTGGATATTTTGATGAATCACAATGGTACACTGAGAATAAGCAGAGAATTACTACCAATATTCTTACGAAAAGATTTCCAGTACCTACCATGCCTTGATGATGTCATTAATTTTTTAAGAAGTGCCTGTGTGTGTGTCTTGTGTGGAATGTGCACATTGAGTGTAAGTGCCTGCTGATGGCAAAGGTGAGCCCAGATGCACCAGACGCAGAACAGGAGTTATTAATATTTGTGAGCTCCCAAAATGGGTTTGGGGAAACGAATCTGGGGCATCAGCAAGTGTGCTCTCTCAATGACTGAGTAATTCCCAGCCACAATATTATTTTAAAAAGTTTTTTTTTAACCTCTTGCAGTTCATTAGACTGTGATAGACCAATTTCTCCACCTTCTCCCTTTGTTTATCTTGTGGCATTCTGGAGGTACTTGTCTATATGATAAGAGTTACCCAAGGACTTCTCTTGAGGTTGAATTTCGGTGTATTTAAACTTGTTTTCTGCTGATAAAGTTGATTGTGCATTTCTTTTGGGTGGTCCACTAGTCTGTCTTGTGAAAGACAGTGCAGTTGTCCATACAAAGGTACCTTTTTCTTTTACTTTTAACTCATATGGAGTAAGCAGGGGTTTGATGGAAAGACTTACGAAAATTCTTTATAACATCAACATTAGTTGGAAATGCCTACACCAACAATAGTATAGTGCTAACTTTGGACAGTTAAATGAGATAAAGCTTGACAAATCTTTGTGAATAGATTCACAATAAGCTTATTAAAGGAGGTATCCGAAAGTTGCACATGTGCTTTAGACATGGAAAGATGGTACAAGGTGCTTTGGCACTTAACACTGGTTTATTTTACAACACCATCATGGGAAATGGGTAAGTATGCTCAAACTGCTCTGATATGCTCAATCAAAGTTTGAGGAAAAACTGGATGGTCTATAACATATTGAATTAAATCTTTGCTTTTTTCTTTTTAAAAAGGCTTTTAGTGACTTGTCTTGGCTAAACCATAGCACCTGCCATTTTGATAGGTACTAAGTAATAACACTTTATGTTTTAAAAGAGCAAACCAGCACACAACACTCCAAGTAACGATGATTCGAATATCTAAGACAATGCCACAAGCTCTAAGGGCAGTTCCCAGAGCTAATCTGGATCAGAAAGAATTTGTGACAATTTCATGTCCTTTCTCTACGTAACCCCTTCTTGCTTTACATTTTACATTCTCCTCGAAGCCTTAGATACAACTGACACGTTTTGTTTACTTCAGGTGGTCCCCCAGGGTTTAGTTTCATTTATCTTACGCTATCACATCCCTCCCCTATGTCTTCCATCTATTTCTTACTTGCCTCATGAGAGATTTTGCTCTGAGAGTACTTGCAATGCAGGCCACTTTGTCAGAGACAGGCATGATACTTTCCAAGTCTTCTTAATGACAAAGGATTAGGAATTTCTCAAATGAAAGAGAAGGTTTCTGCTTGGCTCTATGGATGCCGCACTCACACATTCTGATGCAACCCTTGCTGATTTGGTACATTCTCCCATGCACTGAAAGACTTCACAATCTGGGGGGTGCCTGGAGGTCTCAGGCACCCTGACGAGGCAGGAAGAATGAGAATGCTGACTTATGTCTTCACTTCAGGGCTTAGGAAAGCCACTTGACCCTTAACACAGCCTGTTCTTTATGCTAATTCAGCTCCCTAGGATTTTAAGATTTCTCTGCCCTTTCTCTCACTAAGTAAAGAATAATCTAATTTTTCTATTCAACAGCCAAACTCCTTTCAGATATGAATAAACTCAGTATTATTTATTATGCCTGAATTTACTGAATAAATTTGGTCATTTTCTTTCTTTCTTTTTCCTTTCAGGTTAATGTGCCAATTTCATTTTACTGTAAATTGGAATGTGGGGGAGTGGATTAAACTCTTGGGAGGGAGTCAAGTCCAGGACTCTAGCTTTTTCTTCCCCATTTCCCTCACCTCTCTGTGTCTCCTCACCTGGAGTATGTGGATACTAGCACAGTTTCCCGGAATGATGAAAGGAAAGACTGTATCTTTTTTTAAATGATGCTTGAAGAAGCAGGCTCATGCATGGGAGTGCCACTCAGTGCAAAAAAAAAAAAAAAGTCTTTGTTATTCGGTTATAAATGTTTTTTTATCATCTTAAGACGCTAGTCAGTTTTACCTAAGAGCATCCATTCATAACTCACTAATTTGCTCATTTTCTCTAAGAAGTGCTTATTGAATCTATTCTTAAGTAGTATTTATTAAAGGTAAGCGCTAAATTCAAAGCCTATATTCTTAAGAAGTTTCATGCTTCTGATGAGTTCCCAGTCACATAGAAATAATGTGGATTCGGGGTTATTCTCTGTCAACTAAGAATGACGTCTCCATTCCACCATTGTTCATTCTTTAACGCAGGAGAGTGGTCTGGTAACATTCATCAGAAATTTTCTCTAACATGGACTCAAATTTCCCACTCAAAGTAAGCTTATATGTTATAAGTTGCTCCCCCATGATCACTAGTTCTACCTCTGTTCTCAAAGAGTCAAATTCAATTTATCAATAAACACCACAATTTCACAATGCTAAC